CACAAATACACTTCAGCATGGAGAAAAGTTTTACGTGAATTTTTCACTTATCTAGAATATTTGAAACAAGATCTAAGACTTATTAATACTATTCTTTCCTGTTTCATGAAGCAAAGTCTTCAAAAAAACTGGCTTTCAGGCAAAACTGCAAGTGACAGTGAAGCATACTGACAGCTCATGTAATTTCGTACCATAGGCTTGATTCATGTGGAGAGATTAGTCTTACCTCAATTTTATACCAGCATTACAAGTGTCCACGAGTGAAAAAAGTGTCTTCATCCATTTGCAAGAGCACTCTGAAATCATGAGCCTCCTGAAACAGAGACAGGGAAGTCTGTAGAGGTGCAAAGACCACAGCAAATACCTTTTAAAACAGCACACTCTACTTCTATCAAAATACTGGTTCCTTCTACAAGGACAGCTAAGTTTTTAAATTTCCTTCACGTGATTAACAAGGAAAAGCCTGGAAATCTTTTTTTATCTTTTTTTTTTTCAGAACCGGTGATTGAACTCCGGGCCTTGCTCTTGTCATGAAGCACTTATTCAACTGAGCCATCTCCCCGGCCCCTGGAAATAATTTTCACATTCACACTGATACATTTTAGGACTTCATTCCCCATCACTGTTGTCTTATGAGAATGGCTATAGAGGAACATCATCCTTTAGAGGCACCTGTAGCTGATTGTGTTAGTCAAACCTTCACATTACTTGATGCACTAAAACAAAAGAAGTCCTAAGCCCAAATTCCATGAGAAGAGTTGGGCACTCTGGTATACTGAACGGTGTGCCCATTTCCCCATCCTCCTCTACCCCTACGAGGTATTTCAATAAGATGCCTGCGATTGCACTTACATGCACTTTCTCTTTTACAGAGAGGCAAATAGATCCCTGGATATTTTTCATGATAGATTGCATCCAATGTCAGTAAGTGTCAATTTGGTTGAGGCAGTGATATTTTTACCTCAGACAATAGTGTATCTTTCATGTCACTTTCCTTTTATATTAGTAGACAGAATTAAATCACATGTTTTCATTAGAAATTAATCATATTCTTTCACATATCATGTTGTATTTCATCTTCTTAAAAAAGGGATCATTTTGAACAGGGCTATAAGAAAGGGAGAAGCAGCTTGCAGCATTCTCATTGAGCTAAGGTGAGAAAAGTTAGTATTTAACTACCAGAACATAGAGATTTTCAAAAAATAAATTTCAGTAGCTTTGAAAAACACAACTATGAGTTAGTAAAAGCCTTTGGACACAGAATCTCTGAGAAGAGAATCGGGCTGAACATGACCTAAAAACTTCAAACTTAATTCTTCAAGTATGTTATCTTTTTTGGTGCTTAATAGTCATGTGACTACTGACTAGTGTATGGGACTGGTTCCGTAGAGGATGTAGATATGGGACACTAATTACATTTTCACATGTTATCACAAAGAAATACAACATATCACCAAGAAGACTTTTAGCCTAAATATGTTTTTCTGAATTCTGTTAGCAAAGGTAGGAAGAAGTATCGATTTCTGAAATTTTACTGCTTAGCAATAGAGTATGCACTGAGTGATACACTGATGATGACGCCAGGCATGTAAAGCCCTCATACAGATCACACCACAACGATGCTCATGGTTCACAAGGTGGTTACTTATGGAGCATCTACTCTAAATGTTATCACTGATCAAATTGTCATTAAAGACAGTAAAATTCCCAGTGTTTCTCTTTGAAGATTTAAAGATATACAACCCAATTTAAAATTTTCAAAACATGTCAGCAGATGATGAAAAGAGCTGTCTTAACATCACTTAACACCTTTCTTCACTAAACACTGGCATTGTATCATTTCTCCTTCTAGAAATACAAGCTACCGGATGAATATTTTGAGGATGATCCTGAATTGAACTCTATATACAGATTTGTTGCTAATATTTTTCACATTGCACAGTTTCCAGCTGAATGCGCAATAGTTACATTGGTAAGATGCTTTTCATTTATCAAGCAAGCTTAGAAACTGCTCTTGTACAGAGAGTAAGGACATTTTGCAAATATTAGAATCTGCAGAATAGCATGACATCTTTCATAAGGGAAGTATTCTCTCCTGCTTAGACAAAACACAGAACACCTAAAGGTAAAATAGCAAAGGTGCTTTGAAGGTTCACAGGCTGAAGACGTTTTGGTCCATAAGAAGTTTACACCTAGACTGGGGGGTACATGGCAGATGGGCAACAAGCCATAGAAGGGAAAGGCAGCAAAGAAATGATACCAATGTTTGGACATGAGCCTCTTTTTCCACTTTCTACTGTTGTCAATCTACTGGGATTAGGGTGGTGCTAAGTACAGTCAGTGGACTGATCCTACAATCACACACACACACACACTAACCCTAGCATCCTTAAGCCTAGAGGTGTACTTTCCTACTCAGTCACCTTGGGAAAAGCAGGAGGCTTTGGGTAACATCAAGACACTAACTCTAACAAAGTCTATCAAAGGAGGGAAAGGAAATATACTTGCATCACATAGTGTTAAACGGTGTCTATTCTGATCACAGAAACATTACAATTAAACACAAATGAAGGGTTCACCCATGCACCTCAGTACACACAAACACTTAACACGATGATCACTTACACATGGTGTGAGGGAGGAAGAAGATCAACTAGTAAAGCAAGTCAGACACAGGGGCTAGTTCTATGCAGGTCAATAGAGGTCCCACGTGGTACTCTAAGCAATTCACTGCCTTCCATGCTCTGTTCCTTTGGTGATGGGAGTAGTCCATCCCTGCTGAGAGCTTGAGTCTGCTCAGGACATCGCCTAGGATGACAGTACCAGCACGTCTTAGAAATGTTTTGTCAGCCTTATGTGTGCTAGCTGTGTCCTGACATTTGTGTACTCATACAGAATTCAGAAAATGTGAGTTTTACCATGTCTATAATAACAAATGAGAAATGGTTCATTTGGATGTATAGGACAGGAACAAAAATCTGTCTCTGGAACAAAGAAGAAACGTGTGATTTTTCAAGCACCTGCAATGTACACAGTGAACATTGGGTAGGAGTTGTCAGAGACTCACTGTTGCATTTCAAAGAAAAAATATCTAAAGTAATAGTAAGAGAAGGGGGGAAATAGAGCAGAGAGTTATCAGAGAAATCAAAGTAATAGAAGGTATGAGCAGAGTGTTCAAATAGGCCAAGAAGTAGCTTCAGCACCCACTGGATAAGCACTCTTCATGTAGGGGAATTGGAAGGATATAGTGTGATGTTCTTGCCATTTGTGAGCTCTAGATCTGATGAAATAGCCATGGGATATGTCTCTAGTATAGGAGAATTTGTAGTTGGGGTTTAGCTTTTAAGATAAAGCAGAGATAAATGGATAGGAGACAACACACCGATGCTGATGACCTGTAGCAAAAGGAAGGTCAGGATAGAGAAATGTCAGTTTACCAATGTAGATAGACATAAGAAGAAATATACAGAGACTGAAATAGGATATGTCAGACATAAGTTTGAACCATGTTACTAGGCAATAGGCATTGCTGTTTCCATATTAGCAAGTGTTGGGAATGGAGGAGAAGGATGGACATCATCAGTTATGGCCCATATTAGCTTGACAAGAAGGTTTCAGTACAATAATGGCATCAGAGCCAGAAGAAACTAGGGTAAGGAGAGAAGAAGTGGTGAGTGGCTGGCATGGACATTAAAGATTGAGCGAGGTAAGAGGCAGAAGTCTGTGAGACACAGCAAGTGGATGACAACAGTGTAAACATATTTGTGTGAGGAAATATGAGAGAGGCACGATGTCTTTAAAAAGTGATCATTGTGGGAGCAGTGTCCTCAAGAGATGGAATGAGGAATTAAAACCGATGGAAGAGTTGACATTGTGAGAACAACTCTGTTCCACTCACACAGCAGGTTAAATGTTGCAAATGAATGTCAACCAAGAAAAATAGTCTACAAAATATGTGAACCAAAGTTGAGGGATTATAGTCAGTGTTTCTAAGCCATTGAGCCATTTTAATACAGAAAACAACTGTGTCCTAAGAGAGTGGCTCATATTTAGGATCACTGAGGGAGAGATTTTAGGAATAGAGTAGATTCAAAGTACATTGCCTGAAATGAACTGCAGGTCTCACAATTTCCAGACAGTAACGGTGCCCTGAAAAGTAAGCCTTTTTGTATAATATCCTGAAAAAAATTAAAATAGTATATACAGTCTGCTCTCAGAAATCTGACATGTGTGCTTCTAAAATATATAAGACTTGGGGAAAAATTTAGGTGAGTGGCTAGGATTCCTACTGAAAACGTGCAAAAGGATCATCCTATTTTAAATGTGACTTGTCACACAGGCATTGATTTCAGGGAATTCACTACAGTTCTGAACTCCTGAAATTATCATGCTTTTCTGCACAGCAGCCTCTGGAATGAGCTTTTGCTCCAATAAAAAGTGCCACAAAAATATTAACAATGAGCTAAGAACACAAACTGTACTCACTATGACTTCAGTATTACATTTGACCATGGTTGGTATAAAACTGTTCTACAGTATAAACCA